GCCAACTTGAACTGTACTATGACTCAAATTGACACTCTTACATCTTAAATGGTGATAACCATGATCTCACTCGCATAATAGATTTTCTAAACAAGTCTAAGCTTTGGTCTTAGGGCTCGTTTGGACGGGCTTGAAAAAAAAAGATTTATTATGCTTTACTTATTTTAGAAGTACTTTTCACAAAAATTAAACTATTTATAGTTTTTTTAAAAACATATTAGTTAAGTATACCTTATGCAAGATCTCTTGGTGACTTATGCTAAGCATTATTATACTACAACTTAAAGTTGATATCTACTTGAATTTATTATTGAAATGATTGAAGAGACTCGTCCATTGTCATCCACGAGAAAACTTTCGGTGCAACAAATGTTGGTACATCTATGTGTAAAAGGGAAAGTTTTTTGGACTTAAAAGGAAATATAAGAAAAAGTATAGGTTAGGATGGAATTTTTTTCCTTTTTAGTAAAAAGGAGTACCGAGTTCAGTACTACTGTAGAATTAAAAAAATATCCACCATCCACCTCTTTTTATTACAGTATTATTTAATGATATATTATTAGAATAATTTTATTATGAAAGTAATTAATTAAAATCTCATTAATACTTAATACATGGCTGTATTACAATATAAAAAAATTAGTAACAGTAAATTTTTTTTAGTGGAACATTGAGGTTTAAACATGTGACCACATATAAATTGGCAAAAAACAATATATTATTATTTTAAGAAAAATTACTAAAACACAGCTATTTTGAACCAATTTATAAATTTATTGCACTTAGTTACGCCCCTGGTAGGAGCAACAAGTCGGGCCTCACACAGGTGCAACCTAAGCAAAATTGCGCTGCGCATAGGTGCAACTCGTCTGGTGACGACACTTGGCCCAAAAAAAAGTCAACTGTTTGATCATTAAACTTCGTAGGTCCATAACTTTCGAGTCGGGTGTCCGAATCAGGTGATTTTTTTTATTCTACATAATTTTTTGAGATCAACGCAATGAATCTCATTGAAGGGGATTTGGTCAAAAAAGTTTCCCAATTTTGTTTCGAACTTGAGATATTTTACCGTAAAACTTCAGAAGCCACAACTTTTGACTAAGGTGTCTGAATCAGGTTCTTTTTTTTATTCCATATAACTTTTCGAGAGCGACGTGTGGGGGATTTTGTCAAAAAAATTCCCAAAAATGCTTCCTTGTGTCTTGTTTAGCATATTTTATCTTTGTGAATGATGTTATTTAAATTTTTTACTTTCCAACAATAACAAACAATCCTCTAGGAATTTTCTAGTGCGTAGATCTCAAAAAGTTACATGAATTAAAAAATACACCTGATTTGGACTTTCGAACCAAAGATTATAGTCTTCCAAAATTTTATGCTAAGCTTGAGCTCATGTAATCGATTATATGGACTATTACTCATGTGTCCAAATGTTTTTTGACCAAATCTCTTTCAATAATATGCAATTGCGTAGATCTCGATAAGTTATGTGGAATAAAAAAACTTCAAATTCGGACACTTGAGCCGAAAGTTATGACTTTCCAAAGTTTTACGGTCAAACTATTGATATTTTTTGTGGCACATGTCGCCACTAGACAAGTTGTGCCTGTGTGGAGGGTAACTTTGCACAAATTACATCTGTGTGCGACTTGTTGCGCCTACCATATTGCGTTGAATCCACACTCAAACTGGCTAATTCCAAATATTAATTTAGATAGTAAAGACCATAGTTATTAAAACCGGACCGATCCGGCTGGGTCGACTCGGGAACCAGTAAACCGGTCATATAACCAGTCCGGTTGAAGCAACGGACCGGCCATGCATCAGAACCGGTGCGACCCGGTCCGACCCGACCGGTTTTCACAAAAACCGGTGACCCGACCCGGTCCCAAAAATAAAATTCCAAATTTTTTATTTTTTTCAAAAAAAATCATAATAGTCATATTTGAATATTTTTTTGCTTATTGACTTACATAAGTTATGTACCTACAACACTAATATTATTTCAATTATGTACTATGCATAAAAGTTTGAATTAATTTATAGTTAGAGATGTCATTTTATGAACCTAAAGCCTCGTATCACGATCATTATATCTTTGTTTGATTTTTTATTTGATAATAATATGTGATTTATTATTTTTTGTATTAAAATATTTGAAATTTTTATTAATTTTTTTTAGATATTTGAGTATGTTTATAATTTTTCAATATAAATTATAAAATTGCATATAATTACCGTGTCATGCGGTTAAACCAGTAACCTACTAGTTGAACCAGTGACCCAGTACTTTGACCCCATCAATTTTAATAACATTGGTATAGACATAGCCGGTTTCAATTTTAGGGTTAAGTCAACATTTGTGTGGGTTATTTGACCAAATGTCATTTAACTCTACTTTAGTGCCTGATTCCTTCTAGCCGAAGGTAAAATAAAGCTTTTTCTTTAAATAAAAGTTTAGCTGCTTAAACGCAAATACGGATAGCTTAAGCTCCACCGAAAAGAAAATACCCACTACCTTCAAAAAATAAAGAATAGCATAACAAAACAACCTTTTCATCAAGCAAAACAAGTGCATGCTTATCCATATATATTTATTTAAGGGTTTTCAAAAATTTTGTGGTAGTCATGTCATGGCTCTTCTTGTCATGACTAAGAAACATTATTTTTTGATATTAATCAGAGTAATTCCTATTATATGGAGGGCCCTTAATTAGGTTTGAGATGCATCATATATCATCAATAATCACCTTTTTAGTGCGCAGTGTACTATTTGCAAGTACTACGGGTGGTTAATGGGTTGGAAATCGTCATGACTCATTAGGTTGTCTGTCAATTGCAGCCTCAATGAAATCGATTCTTTAAGGTAAATTTCTTATAAGATTATATGAATGAAAATATAATATAAAGATTATAAATAGTATTTTACAAAACTTAACCTTAAAAAACTCTATTGATTAGATTATGTTTAGGACTCCTTTGGTGGTTATGATAGAAAGGATAAAACATGATAAACTTTAATATCATACACTTATCCTTTTGGTGAGCTGACAAGATATAATAAATACCAAAGTGATTTTTGCAAGTGGTACATGCTTGATTCCACTTAAGAAAGATCTTGGATTCAAGTTTTTGTGAATGTATTTTTTTTCTGGGAACTAGCTCCACCATGATGTGAATGTTTTTGCCTCGATCAAAATTACCTCCTGTGGAGTGTATCTGTAGTTTATCCCAAAAAAAATATATCATAAACTTATAATGTTGATTTCTTTTATTATGTTCACATTATGATAAGTTATCCGGGCATAGGTTAGAATTAGACAGGTTAAAATAACAAATATTACATTCTCTTATTTCGAATATAATCCTTTGCTCTTTTTTTAGGAACTTTGCTCGAAACGTGAACCAGTTGCTATCACCGCCACCCTCGACCACCAAGCACTAGTCACATGGGCATCGACCACCACCACTAACCAATGACCAATTTTGAGACACAATATAGAATTTATTTTTAAAAATTTATTTAGTGATGATATAATTTTTGTTTTAATATTTCTAAAGTGAATACAGATAAGTTATTTATATTCACTTTCAAAATGACGTAGTTTTAGGTTGAAAGATTACAAATTTATAATGATAAAGATTATTATAACTTCGAAATAAATTATAATTATAAAAATATCTTTATTTTCGCCCCAAAATGATATCATTTTTGGCTCAATGCAGATAACTTATCTGCATTCACTGCAGAAAAAATGAACATACAATTTTTATTTAAAAATTATAAGTTATTTGTGTATTTTAATATATTTAATTTCAAATCATGTTTTTTAGAATTTTAATAATTTAAAAGAAATAATGTATAGATAAGCCATAAAAAAAAAATTGACAATATATTTAAACAAGCGACTTTTTTTTTATAATTGTTCTAATTTTGGTGAAATAAAAACTAATTATAATTATTAAATTACGTGTTAAAAAATTTATTGATAAAGTCACATAAAAATTGATTCTTGCAGAAAAGAAGCCAACATATTAAATTTGTAAAAAAAATGATATACATTTTTAAAACCATTTAACTGTTAATATAAATATTTCACCCATTTCAAAATATCAGCTGCTTATAAAATTTTGTTTTAATTTATTTGTCGCACTAAAAAAAACTATTAACTATATATTTTTAATTTTATCTCTGTCTCTTAAATTTCTTTACAATGTAATAAGGGGAAATATTAATACAATAATAGCATTTTAAGTATTTAAATGAAAGTTGATTTAGTTAAATGTAATGATGCTTTTTAAATTCAAGATTATCTACTAATTTTTTAAATTATTGTATATTTTTCTAAGCAACAAATACTCTACAGTGTAGACTGAATAGCTCAGGCACACATATACATAAGCTCGTTCTGCGAGCATTAGTTCTTTGTTTTTAATTGTTATCTAATAAAATAGATTTCAAAAACATTTTGCAATTTAAGGAATAAAGAGGCTGCGTTCAATAGCATTCCCCAGAGGAAGTAACTGTTTACGGGATCTAGTTAACCACTTTCTTCTAAATTCATCCATATTCATGATGATTATTAGCTCTTGAAAGTCGATTATTTTTCAAAAAAAAAATATATAATGCTACATGAGAGCCCTGTGCCGACATTGGTATTTATTGATAAAGCACATAGATGAATGAATTCTTTTCTATGGACGCGGGAGTGTGCCATTGTGAATTTCTAGTCAACTAGAGCTCATTTTTGTAATATTTTATCAAACAAGTAAAAAAATTATAGCGAACTTGGGAATTTGGTCACCAAAAAAATATAAGCAGAAAATAGTTGGCAAACCATGTCAAATTGGCTGTTAACGAACAAGATGCCACTGGCGTAATAATAGTGGAAAAATATGGGTATTGATGTATCCATAATTCTATAAATACAAGCAGTTCCTCTTCAGAAAATGGCGGCATATATACAGTATCTAAACAACTTGTTGAGTCCTAAACTGAAATGGCAAAAATAATGTTCAGGGTGTTTTTCTTCAAATCTCTTTTCTTCTTTTGGTACCGTTTTCTCCTTAGGCAACTGAAGAACCTCATAGGCTTCCCCAAAACTATTAGCAATTCATTTGCAAGTACAACACAGTTTAAATACCAAAAGTTCCCCTCTCTCCTTCCTCGTTCAGACCTCAATGACCACACTTTGATCTTTGATGTAGAAAATGCCTTGTTGAAATCCTCTTCTCTGTTCCCATACTTCATGCTTGTGGCCTTTGAAGCAGGAGGGCTCCTCAGAGCCATTCTTCTGGTTCTGCTATACCCTTTTGTTTGTTTAGCAGGAGAGGAGATGGGGTTGAAGCTAATGGTCATGGCATGCTTTTTTGGGATCAAAGCAGAGAGCTTCAGAGTTGGAAGGTCTGTTCTTCCTAAGTTCTTCTTGGAGGATGTTGGTTCAGAAATCTTTGATGTGCTGAATAGAGGTGGGAAGAAAGTGGGTGTCAGCAATTTACCTCGAGTAATGGTGGAAAGCTTCTTGAGAGAGTATTTGGAAATTGATTTTGTTGTGGGCAGGGAGCTTAAAATGTTCTATGGTTACTACGTGGGATTGATGGATGACAGAAAAAATATGCATGTTTTGGAACAAGTTCAGGAAGGGAAAGGGTGTTCCGATGTGATTGGAATTACAACATTCAACAAGATTCGCGACAATGAATTTTTCTCTCATTGCAAGGTTTGTGTTTATAATTATATTATTACCATTTTAAATGTTCACAAAAGAGAAGTTATATTTATAATCTTTTTCGTTTACAATCTTTTGTAACTAGATCTTAATTGATGATTTCTGTGAATTTAATGGTTATAATTTATTGAATCATACTTATTAAATAATAAAGGTGACTCGATAAATTATAACCATCAAATTAGCAGAAATCAACGATTAAAATTTGATTATAAGAAGTTGTAAACAAAAGAGATCGTAAGTAGTGAATAGTTTATTGTTTAATAAACTTCTAGCAGTTCTGTTTACATCAAACTCACGTTTTGTTTATGTTTTAAATAGGAAGTTTATATGGTGTCGGAAGCTGACAAGAGAAGCTGGCAAAAGCTAGCAAGGGAAAGATACCCCAAAGCACTAATCTTTCATGATGGAAGATTGGCTATGAGACCCACTCCAATGGAGTCTATAGCAATGTTGATGTGGCTTCCTTATGGGATAATCCTTGCCGTTATTAGAATCTCACTTGCCCTTTCACTTCCATTTAACATCTCAACACCCTTGTTGATAATGAGTGGTATACGTCTCACTACCTCAATCCCCATAAGCTCCCAACGTAACAAAGAAAACGGTAAACCCAATGGTCATCTTTACGTGTGTAACCACAGAACATTGCTAGATCCTCTCTACATCTCGTTCACATTAAAAAAGAACTTAATCGCCGTCACATATAGCTTAAGCAGGATGTCAGAGATATTGGCACCAATCAGGACCGTGCGATTAACCAGGAACCGTGATAAGGATGCAAAGATGATGCAACAATTGCTGGGTCAAGGTGACCTAGTTGTGTGCCCAGAAGGGACCACTTGTAGAGAGCCATATTTATTGAGGTTTAGTCCTCTGTTCTCAGAAATGTGTGATGAAATAGAACCCGTTGCTATTGAAAGCCACGTTAGTATGTTCCACGGTACAACTGCTGGAGGGCTTAAGTGCTTGGACCCAGTGTTCTTTCTCATGAATCCTTCCCCGGTCTACACGGTTCAATTGCTGAACCAGGTGTCCCGTTCACGTTCACACACAACAAATCTTGATTATGATGGTGAGGGTTCAAGATTTGATGTGGCTAATCAAGTTCAAGCACAGATTGGAAATGCTTTGGGATTTGAGTGCACTAAACTTACGAGGAAAGACAAGTACTTGATTTTGGCTGGTAATGAAGGCATAGTTTCGAACAGGAGGAGTGGCAAATCGTAGGGTAGCTACTCATTCATTCCTTTTGATTGTACTTATTATCATTTTTTCACTTTGTATTAATTCCTATCTTGTAGTATAAGGCAATATTAATTTTTATTTGTAGTCCTTGTTTTGCAATTAATGTAGCTGGCTACCGCCTAACCACATATATAACATATGAATGTAACAAGCGAACAAAATTTCAGAAACAAAGTACTCTGCTCCAAATTTACAATGGGATGTGATTTTGTTAATATTGTTCAAAACTTGTGTAGATACCAATATTTTGTTAAACTCGACCCCACCATCGAATGGATCATATACTAAGTTGGCAGTTCAATGAGTAAATTATTAGTTGAACTTATTACATATATAAAATTGACCCAACAATTCATACTCAAAAGTACAAAAAAAATTATAACACACTATTGTTCTCATTCCATCAAATTACATATTGTAATTCTCTCATTATTTCCCCCCCGTAAATTCTTTCCTTAATTTCTATCATGTTTAATGTTTTCAAACAATTAATACTCCTATTAGCCGCGGACTTTAAAAGTAAAAATAGGAATTTCGTGGAGGACCTTTTTTTATTAAGTAGTCAACCCAATGTTTAGAAATTAGAATTATCTATTTATGTTTATACCTAAAATGCTAAATTTTATAAAAATAATTAGTAAAACGATACATAAAAATTGATTCGTAGGAAATCATTCAAACTGTTTGTGCATGATATATGGCATTACTCTACTAATATATAGTTAAATTGGTTTTTTATATTTGGTATCCTTTAATCATATTAGTTTTACTAATTTCTATTTAACGAAAAACTTATTCTTATTATAAAAAGTAAAAATAAATAAAATGATTTTACAATGAAATAATTCTATAATTTTTTAATTTAAAATTATTATTATGAATTAAGAAATAAATTGATATGCATATTAATGTCTATTATATGATATACAGTACAACTAAAAGTAAACAAACAAAATAGGTTAAAGAAATATAATATAAAATTATTAATATAGTTTTACCCAATATATAAGTTAAACTTTTAGATGAATTAAATTTTTATATAGTAGTAGAATCTTTGTGATAAGATGGTTACAAGTTCCATCTTCATGGTCCTCATTCAATTAAAAATGAATAATTAAATATCATGGAATTTCTAATACAAATAAGTAGGTTCTGATGCATTTTTCATATTTCAATTCCAACAAACTCTTATGTGAATGGACGAATTGGAGAAATATAATATAATATTTTTTATATAACATCACTTAATAATTTAATTTTTTTTTTTTTGGATAGAAAGAAAATCAAAACAAGCTACCTACGAGTCATCCTTGAGAAAGCGTCTCACATACAGCCTGAAGCAATCAGATTACGACAAAGTTGAGAAAAGTGCTCAAAAAGATGAGTATCCCAACCAAAAGGGGACACATTGGCAGCAAGCCAATCTGCCACAGAGTTGCCTTCTCGGTGAATATGCGATTGCACAACAATCCAAGGTCTATTAATAATTCCTTTAAATTTTTGGTTTGAATTATTTATTTAACATAAGTATAATATTTTGATTAAAATATAGAAATGTGTTCGATTTTTTTCAGTATCACCTTTAAGAGAGATTTAAAATCTTAATTTCAGGACCCATCCCGAATCGGACTAAACTTAAAGTTATGAATTTATTGAATATTTCAAAAAAAAAAAAAAAAAAAACTTATAATAGCAAATAGCTAAAAGCTAAAATTTTCATGACGCGCGCGCACGTACATTGGTGACCGTATGAAAAGTTTCGTTGACAAAATCTTAATCAAATTAAACGAACTTAGCCACTTTACGCTGCCAGTAAATTTTTTGGAATATCTGCTCTCTGCAATTCTGCATCTTTCTCCCTCAATCTCTGCTGCCACAAAAAGTAGCAACTTTGGCTGCTAACTAAACTCTCTAATAAATGCTGCACCCTTGAAATGCGCAACTGTACCAGGAAATAAAATAGATAGGGAAGGGTGTGTGGAATAATCAAATACTATTTGACCCGAACTTATGAGTGCTCTGAGTGGGCAGAGATAGACTTTATAAAATGCTTCAACTCTGAGGGTTAATAAAATATTGGGAAATGTTTTTGTTATGTAACATAACATAAACACAAACTTTCTATTCTCACAAAAGGAAGAGAGATGAGAGAGAATAGGAAAAAGAGAACAAATTTAAAGTGGGTCCCATATAAAATTTGTGTGCGTAGAAAAATGATTTTATGTTATGTAACATAATAAAAATAAAGCGCTAAAATATTCTAGTGCTCCTATTGCGGTGAAAGGGAAGTTATGGATCCCACATCTTCTTACATGGCCCATCTTATGTTGTTTATGTTATCTCTTGCAACATTGAATCCTAAGCTAGGAAATGCACATGTACTTTTTTTTTTGGTACCAACCATAGCCACATAAGAACTTTGATGTGAAACGTGATATACTATTGCTGCAGATCAGTGGGGGATCTATAAGACCAAGTTGCACCGTAACTTCAGCAACATTAGCGATCTACTACAAGAGTTTGTGCCAATCTAAAAAATAACTCTTGTCACGGTTTTGAACGTGACTGAATCAAAGATCCATAACTTAAGGCTTGAACTCACTGAACATGTGATTTGACTTTGAAGCAAAATTCACAATGCAGATCCAATGCATCAGTTATACACACAGTTTTTGTTTTATATAACGTACAAACACGTGAGTCTATCAGGATCGCTCATAAAAAAAAATTTAATTTTAAAACTAAAATAACATAAGTATCATTAAAGTTTAATTCTAATTCTGTAAAAAAAAAGTTTAATTTTAATTTATTATTAGTGTAAACCTTAATCTAATATGATGATAATAACTACTTAAAAAAAATCAAAATCTTCAGGATAAAATGAATCAAAATTAAACAGATATTATGACATAAAAGAGTGCAAGTGATGTTACGGTTTTGTTTTTGTTTTTGTTTTTTGTTTGGTATAAACGGTTTTGTTTCTTTATATGGAAAATAGGCGCGAACTTAGCGGCTAGGCGCGTTGTGGTTGGGCGGTGGAACAGGGAGCAATGATGATAGAGCTGCGATCAACGATTTCTATAATGCGTCATTGGTTTTGGAAATGGATAGGCACTTGTTCATGTTCATGCCTCAACCGCCAACCATCACTACCCCATTCATCTCAATCATAATCTCCATTGGTTCTAAACAACCACGAATGGTCCTGGTTTTCGAAGATTAACAATTGACCACAAACGCAATGTTTGGAATTTGGAAACAGATGTCAAGTACAAACTACAAATACAACGTCTGCTCGTTATTCGTTTGGATTTATAATATGTACCATAATTTGTGTTCGTGTCGTTTATAAAATTAAGCTGAAATTTATTAAAAATCGAAAGAAAATAATATTCATATGTTTCATTTTCATCCATCCTCTTCTCCCTTTGAATTAGGTCAGCATCGTAACTGACCTGTACAACGCGTGTTTAATTTCGAACAACTTCAACGTGTGTTTTTTTATTTTTTATAACGCATTTTATTGTAGTTAGTTATCGCGTTATATTCATTTTCAGATGTACAATTGCTCGAGGCCCAGTTAAAGGTAGGACATAACCCCCAACAAGGCCCACACGGAGCATGCGGTTCACATCATATGGCATTTGCCATCTGGGAAATATAATTGATGACAATTTCCATGACGTGGAACACCAGCTATAAAAAAGAATTTGGTTTACCACAAATTTTTTGGTAGATATTTTGAAAAATTTATGGAATAGGTTATTTTATCTATATATATTTATTTTTTTTTGTAATAAAGAGGGCCAAAAGCCTCAAACAAAACAAAAATTACACGACGCGAGAACTGTCTACAGAAGCATCCTGAAGAAGGAGCTCTAACAAAGGAGAAGGAGGAGAATGATAAACAATAAGATTATTATCATCCTCAAAATGCCTAGAAGCAAACCAGTGAGCACATCTGTTATTTTCTCGAAAGGTGTGGACCCAACGAACATCCCAATCTTCAGCAAGCCATTTGTGAATACGGGAAACAACCTGAGAGTTTCTGTGATTGTTGCTCCCTTCTTGGATAGTGCTAAGAGCAATTTCTGAGTCACATTCCAACTCCACTCTCCTAGCACCAGTACCCCAAGCAAACCTTTGAGGCCTAGCACCTTAAAGATTATCAGGAATGTTATTTTATCTACTTTTGTCTACTATTCTAAAACAATCCTTAGATCAGAATTTCAATTAATCTTTATCTTTCTCTCTTCCCTTGAGATTCTGATATAATAGTGTCGAAGAGTGGTAGAAAAGATATGCAGAAAAAAAGTAAGTAGAATAAGCTATCCCAAAATCTATTCATTAAATATATATAAGATATTGTTACTACCAATGTCACTTCCACTTTGTTTCACCATTAGATTGATTATGTTGATTCAACGATTATATTTATTTCCACCTTTATATGGTCATGATTCTCCATATTTAATGTTTTCACATTAAATATGGAGAATCATAACCATACAAAGTGAAAATGAATATAAAGTATTAAATATAGAGAGAAGAAAAAAGATTTTTAGAAAATTAAATCATACCCGTTGAATCAATATAATTGATCTAACTGTGAATACTAATTGGTAATAAGAATATCATATCTCTATTAAATATCTCCATTAATTAGCAAAAAGCTTTCCAAATTTTTTTTTTTTTGTAATATAACAGGGGTTTGAAACCACCGTAACTTGAATGGTGTAATAAATATCATTGAAAACGCAAGCACACCCGGTACAAATGATTTAATGGTGTTCCCACAAAATGTGAAGCCTGAGGTTCGATCAGGAATGAATTTTTTCATGTAAAAAATTGGTTCATGTAATTATATTCTATGATGCACGGACACGGATACAGAACACGACACGATATGCCGACACGTTAATTCTAAAAAATATCATATTTGGACACGTTGGGACACGTTTTGATATTAAATAAAAATTTTAATATATATAATATAATTTACATTTAATACATATAGCAACTCATAATAACTCATACTAATCAAATATTCAAATTTTATAA